TTTTGGAGCACAGGTGCATCTCAGAAAAGTTCATTTTTATCAGTAATTTCATTTAAAAAGTGAAACATTCATATATTCTAGGTTCATTACACATAAAGTGAAATATTCCAGGCCTTTTGTTTCTTGAATCTTGATGATTGCAGCTTACAGCTCATGAAAATCAAAAGCCCATCTCAAAAATATTAGAATATTAGAATAAAGAACGTCGACCTTCTGAAAAAGGTTAATTTATGCACTCAGTCCTTGGTTGGAACTCCTTTTGCATGAATTACTGCATCAATGCAGCGTGGCATGAAGAGAATCCGCCTGTGGCCCTGCTGAGGTGTTATGAAAGCCCAGGTTTCCTTGGTAGTGGCCTTTAGCTCGTCTGGGGTGTCTTTTATTTTTGTCTTTAGATTCTCTCTGGGGTTCAGGTGAGGTGAGTTGGCTGGCCAACCAAACACAGTAATACCATGGTCAGCAAACCAGTTCCTAGTGGCTTTGGCCCTGTAGGCAGGTCCTAAGTCCTGCTGGGAAAGGAAATCAGCATCTCCATAAAGCTGGTCAGCAGATGGAAGCATGAAATGCCCTAAAATCTCCTGGTCGGCTGCATTGACTTGAACAAACACAGTGGACCAAAACCAGCAGAGGACATGGCGCCCCAGATCATCACTGACTGTGACAACTTCACTCTGGACTTTAACTTGGATTCTGTGCCTCTCCACTCGTCCTGCAGACTCTGGGGACCTGGATTTCCAAATGAAAATTTGCTTTCATCTGAAAAGAGGACTTTGGACCACTGAGCAATGATCCGCTTCTTTTTCTCGTTAGCCCAGCTCACGCAGGAGCCCCGACCATGTACTGAGTGCTTAGATGAAGACGCTGACATCTCTATATTACATATTCTTTAATGTTCTAATGTTTTGAGATGAGGCTTTTATTATTTCCTTTAACTTTAATCTTTAATCATCGAGATTTAAATAAAAACAAACTTAAAATATTTCACTTTATGTGTAATGAATGTAGAATATATTAAAATCCTAATTTTTTAATTAAATTATGGGGAAAAATGAACTTTTTCACGATATTTGAATTTTTTAAGATGCACCTGTAGTGGGAATTACTTTACTGATGTCACTAGAGGGCAGGTTCCTGCTCACTGTAGGAAAATTCAAACTGAAATGCAGAAAATTTTAACCTTCTTTAATTCCTTTAACACGGTCGTTTTCACCGTTACTACCGGAATCCACCCTTCCCGTGCTGGATTCAAACGCGGTGCAGAGCTCCACATGCTCAGCAACATAACCCACTCCTTTACTGTGTCCTGCTGGTGTGTGTGAAACTACTAGCAGTCAGGTTCCTACCCTCTCTGGGAGAAGGAAATTAATAACTACTGACGGACTTCTTCATTGAAACCACCTGAGTTTGTTTGGCAGCCAGTCAGATGTTAAAAAGTGCTGACCTCTTTGGAAAGTAAGTTGTTGTTTTTTGTTGTCTTCCCCTTTTCAAAGGCCTGTTTGAGGGTTAAGTTGTAGTTTTGGGGGTGAAGTTTGGACAATACGCTAGAGTTAGTCTTTGGGATGTGTTGTGCATTATCTCCATTAGAGGTCCTCACAAGTGTACAAGCGCAAACATGAACTGGCAAACATAATGTAATCAGAGATCAGCTCTGTGTATCTGCTGACACAAGCTTGTTATGTAATCAGCTGACTCAGCGCTTCTGCTTCCAAATGGAGCTCTCCCACTATCACACACACACACACACACACACACACAAGCACTAAATGGACATCAGATGGTTGTAAATTGTACCTGCACAAAGAGGCTTCTCTGCTTTCAGAGCTGCTTTTACTTTATAATTATCAACCTTTATTTAACATGTCGCTTGTTTGGAATTATTCCTTTTTAGATTTAGCTACATATGTTTTACTGGTAAAGTTTACAAGGTTTTGGCTCGTTATCAAACTGAAAAAGAAAAGAAAAATATAATTTGACAGCCTTCATGACTAAGTCTGGGTCTCAAACTTTTTTCTCCGTGCTGAGTCTGACCACAATGTTTATGTGGCACCTTGTATTGAAAACCTTATGGTATCAACAGTTGCCATCAAATGTCTGTTTTTTAAATAATCTTCCATATTATTGATCATTTACTACTAAGTGAGAGTAAGGAGGTCAGAAACTAGAACAGGAGTCCGGCGTTTCAACATTGATTCTTTTTACGTAATGTTATGTAATTTAAGCACTTAATTTAACCTAAACCAAGATCTTTTCCTAAATCTAACCAAGTAGTTTTGGCATAGGTGTCACTGACACTGGGGACGCTGGGGACACGTCCTCACCACATTCTGAAATGGCTGATTTTGTCCCCATCACTTTTTGAAAGCAATTGTTAAAAGGGTTCTGAAAAACAGCACCAAGAAATGTTAACTGACAAATTAAAATGCTTTGAGAAAGGTTTCTTTGCAGAATAACAAAACATGCAATGCAAACAAATGCGCATTGTCCAAGAAAAGTAACTAAATACTGCATTATATTCCATTATATTTTTATATTCATGAATTGTTCCCTGCCAGGTTTTTTTGTTTCCTTTTAAATCTTCTCGTCTTGTTCTTGTGCATCATCTCATTCTCGTGACCCAAGTGTATCATCACAGCCCTAATCTGAGCCCTTATGTCCCACTACTTTTCAATGCAAACTTTTGGTTCTAAACCGAACCAAATTGCGCTGTTTCACAACGTTAACCACAAGTTTTATTTTACCTGACGTTACATATTTGTTATTGCTAACTTGAACTGGAGTCCTACAGGTCTAAAACCGATGCTAAAGGGTACCAGGGCTTAAAAAGGGACGCCAAGCGGTCTTGACCAAGCGTCCATATGTGATGCCATCGGATGAGAACGGGTTGGATCCCCTGTCTTCTCATTAAGTGCCACAAGTTTTCTCACCGTCTACTTTATGGATTGACACATAATTTGTGATTTTCAGAAGATGAACACTTCCCCTGAGTTTTCCTGTAGCTGGACTAATAAGAATGAGATAGGTGTAATTTGTCCCACCCGCTAACAGGAGAAGGAGGGAAATGGCATTCAAACACTGCCCACACAGTACTGAGAAGAGCTCTTATCAGCCTGAAGAATCAGCTGCGTGGGTAGAACATACTGTGGGCGTGCAGGTGGTTTAATGACAACAACATTTGGTTGCTGCAAAATGTAGACTCAGTAAAATGTTTACTTTCTGTGATATTTAGTTGAAAAACAAACACTTTAAAAATGTGGTTAGCCATGTTAACTGCAGTCGTGAGGTTAAAACGTTTCCAAACTGATTGATGGGTCACTTCATCTTCTGCACAGCATTTCCATTCAGTTTTTTCCATCCAAAGAGGCACTTTATGGTTTCTTCCATCAGCATTTACTAAATATTTAGTAAACAAGCTTAGTGTTCCAATTCAGACCTCATTTCTTTTTAGTTTGGAGCATGATTTAAATTTTGTTTCATATTTATTATCTACCCAAGATCTTCCTTTTGTGTTAGTTAATTTTGTAAAAAGGTTAAAAAAAAGAGAAGAGTTTAATAAAATCTTAAGTACATCGGTAAAAAGAATTTAGAAACACCAAGGTATGGTTTACATTTTGAAGTGCCTTCATCATTTCAAATGTCAAATATATTCTGCAAACAAAGCAAACTCCTGCTGTGACACTTTAACTGAAAGTAGGGCTGGGCGATACGACCACAAATGTTCTCATGATAAAAAAGTTCAAAACATTCTATATTGATAATTATCAGGATAAATGTCAAACAATTATTTCTTTAAGGTTTAAAGGCTGATTTTTGCTCCTAAGTGAAAATTAAATTTAAACATTTCTTAATGATCAGAACAAACACTTTATGCAAAACAGTGGATCACTTCACAAATCTGAGGCACAACATTCAAAATTATTATGATAAAATCTGTTTTCAATAAATAGGCTATGCATGAGGTTTAGTTGGTTTATGGGCCCGCAAGAGGACGAGGATTTGGGGTCCACATGGTAGAAACATATGTTATCACTGTGACATACAGTAACACTCTGGTGTGATTCGGATTCTACATGTGGTAACACCTTCAGGAGTGCAGCAGGTGGTGTTTCTGATCAGCAGGTGTCGCTATTTACAGAGTTTCTGCTGTTCTTTGCTGTCTCACAGCTGCACAGGACAGTGCGCAGCCGCATTGAGTGAGCTGCGTCAAGCCAGAGAAATGCAGAGGGCAACCGGAAACATAGAGGGCACGTTTTCTTCAGAATTCTTCAGCATAAAATATGTAACGCAGTTCAGCATTGAAATTACCCATCCATCCATCGTCAGGACAGGTCGCCAGGCCATCGCAGGGCAGCATTTAAATTAACTTAATGGACATTAAAATCAGTCATTCTTTCAAGTTAACTGGTTTAAAAAACATTGATATACACAGAAATAAATATATATAAATGTTAAATGTTAGAATAAAGCCGGCTGAGTCAGTGAACTCTTTTATAGTATAGCCTTTCCTGATTTTAGTTGATTTTATTTTTTTAGGCAATTTTTTTATTGGAACTGTATTTTAATTTCTTAAGTGTTTTCTTGCTTTTACTGTGTGTCTTGTTATCTGTTTTATTATTTTTGCACTTGTGAAAGCACTTCGTAAAATGTTTTTGTGCTCTATAAATAAGATTATTATTAATAATAAATTATCATTAATATTATTATTATATAGAGTAAGAGTTATAAAGCGTTATTATCACTATAGAAAGTATTTATGGAAACTCCTAAATAAGCTAATGCAAAAACAAATCTGTCACAGGTTCTAAATTTTTTTTAAATGTTCTTCATTACAGCATTGTGTGAGACATTGATTTTTATCCAACTTGAATAATAATTTATGGAGAAACTGTCAAAACAGTAAAAGTAAAAGACACAACAACTTTGTTGGCTTTATTTTATTTTGAACGTTGACGGCCGGATGCCGCGCCGCTGTCTGATCTTTGACGCTTGACGTAGCGCGCAGACAGGAGGCGGACGCGGCGGCGAGCATCTGGAAGGAAAGTGGCTGCGCGGCACGAGACGGCACGCCTGTATGTCTCGCGGTGTGCCTGAACGTTAGCTAGCTCCACGCGCTCTATTTCTCGGATATAACCGCGGAGAACAGCGGAGAAGAAGCGGGGATATTATGGCGACGCTGGGGCCGGAGTCGGCTCGTCCTCCCCACTCCCAGCTCTGCTCTTCCCCGTCGATCCAGTCTCACATCGGCGGCGCCAACCTGCCTCCTAACCGGGGCTTGGAGCGGGCGCTGGAGGAGGCGGCGGCCAGCGGCGTGCTCAACCTCAGCTCCCGAAAACTGAAGGAGTTTCCCCGGACAGCCGCCAACCATGACCTGACGGACACGGTGGAAGCAGGTAGGCGGCTCTTCCACACCTATCCCCGGGTAGCTTTATAGAAATAGACCCGGTGCTGTGCGGTGACTTAACGATTCTCAGCAACGTGGATACTTTCCTCCCTGACCGTTGTACTTTTATTTACAGTTAGTGCTGGCATTTCCGTTACTCTCACAATCAGAACAGCTTATTTATACTTGGGCCACACCGGGAGTCGAACCCGCAACCTCCCTGGGGTGTGAGTAGCTTCTCTGTATGTGTGGATTTAATTTAAATGACAGGTCTGCTTCACCTGGACACACCGAGGATGTGAACTCCTCCGGTATTATTAGTGTCCAGCTGAGTGGTCACACTGACTACTCACCACATGACACTGGGGACAGGGTTTTGGGTGAGACGCTCTTGGAAAAGATCCTCAAGTGTGCAGTCTGCAGGGTCTGACTGTTTAGTGGGCCTACGGTGGAATTCCCCACCACTTCCTTTAAATCCATTTACAGCTGTAAATAAACCATGGAGAGCGGGATGAACCAGGACTGACTCAGTGTGTGTTGTGCAGTTTGTCTTTACACACAGGGACTGTATATGTAAAGACGCAGAGACCGGGTTTGTTATGTTATATAGTGACCTGCAGCCCCTGGGTAGACATGCATCCATGTGCACAGAGAACCTGTTTTAGCTGATTTAATGTGCTGTAAATCAGTAATGACTTAAGAGCAGGCTGGTCACACACTATCAGTGTCACACCTTAAAGGGTCAGTTCACTCACTTAGTCTCTGCCTTCCCTTCCACTTCCACCCCATGGGACCTTGTATCGCAATAAATATGTATGACAGTCAACTGTGAGAGGCAACTATTTTTTTAATATCACATTTGAGCTGTACCTTGAATTACACTGATGTTTGTCAGTTTGAAAGATAAAATTTTGTCCGTCTAGAAAGTCTGTTTGTGTTGAAACCGCTCTATGAACTACACCTCTCCTCTTTCACAATACACGTCATCAACATGTTAGAGCTGCATTGCTAAGCTAATCAGCGCTAGCATCCAGCTGTCATGACTGAAGCCAACGTGGAAGTATCTTAAACCTGCATTCTCTCTAAAAGCCAGCAGGGGGCGACTCCACTGGTTGCAGAAAGAAGCGTGACTCTAAGGCTGTGTTGGAAACAGGCTAAACTGCTGTCTCAGAAGTTGTCTAACAGGACAGCGAGGCGTTGAGTGCTGTTCGAAACTGCTTGAACGATCTCTTCCTGTCTCCTGAGATGCCTTCAAGCTGCCCCAGTAACGGCCAGTTTTGAAGGCAGCATCAATGATGACTTAATGCCGACTATTATCCATAAAGCAGCGCGTCTGCGGCCGCCGGAGCTTTCGAAAACTGGTCATGATGGCGGATAAACGAGCCGAATTTGTACACAAATATACGTTTTTAAAGGTTTTTAGTAGTTTTCTCGCTTTGATTTTTGAAAATCTAGCGAGAACTAAACACTGACCTATCATATCAGCCCGTGACTGTAACCAACCAAGTTTGTTCAGTATGATTTCTGAGGCGTCTGTTAGCCGTTTGGCTTTTCAATAGCTAGTTAGCTTATGCTAAGGCTAGGCGGCGTGCTGACATCCCACGTTGCCGTAAGTGCTGCCCTAGAAGGCTGTTTGAAACCAATGTAAACAGAGCTGCCTTCACTTGAAAGTGATGCCTTCTGAGGCAGCTGTCTATTACGGTATCGAGGCAGCGAGGCAACTGCCTTCCGTTTCGAACACAGCCTATATAAGTCTATGAGAAAATTAAGCTACTTCTCAGCTGATTTATTACCTCAGTAAAGACTTTCCTGATGAGTTTATGGTCTCAGTCGCTAGTTTCAAGTCTTCTTCAACACAGCATGATGTTCATTTAGTAAATTATGGTCCCATTTAGAGGAAAATAGACCAGAAAATAGGGGAGGCTTTATGTCGGGGCTACATTGTGATTGACAAGTTGCTACCATGGTGACCTGTCAATCAGGATAGATTTTGAGATCTCGTCTGTTTTCATGAGGGCTGTTCCTTCACACTGTAACAGGAAGAAAGATGCAGCTGGATGTTTTTCCAGTACAAACTAAGTTCCATTCACCTCCATTATTCTGTTCCCCAAACCTCGCCCTTGTAAAACCGAAACCATCTCCTTATCCGTTGTCTTCACAGCAGCATCAGCTGGGCTTGAAAAGGCTCGGTGACGTTACGTAGCCGTGCTTCACTTTGTTTATGTACACCAAAAAAAGAAACGTGGCTTGCATAACCACCGTGGGTCAGGTTTACAGAAACACACACACAACATGAAGTCAGACGGTGTGGAGGCCGTGTGGTTCAGGTTAACAGCATTACAGACTGGATCTGGGTCACTGGGTTTGGATTCAACCTGCTGATCGTTGAGGTTTCATCTTTAAACATTTCTGTCCCTTGTTTGGGGATTATTGTGCTTTTGGCATATTGTGAGTTGGTGTTTGGAGAGAAGATTTGTTTCTGTTTAACAGTTATGGTGCTGAACATCATTTAATTACAGAAGATCAAATCAGACCTTTTAGGGGTGATCCTAAATACTTAGACTACTTAAAGTCTCCTCAATAACAGAACCCGTAAAGACCCCGAATGAGCTTTTAACTAGAGATGCACCGAGCTGACTTTTTCAGTCCTGATACCGACACCTGGGCTTTGGGTATCGGGTTATTTATAAAACCTTACATTTACTGGAAATTGTCTTATCTCTAAGCAAAGTGTAGACTTGACGGAAGAGATTTTCCTGCCGGTCATGTTATGTGAACTTTGCATTAGCTTTATAAACAATGTTACAGGAGTTATCCCTTCAAAGCTGTGTGTTTGGCTATGTCTGTCAACTACTATTTTACCCACCGAATAATTTGTGTTGCCTGGCGTCAGTCTTCTCCACCATCTCTGTGATCTCGTCTTCCACAAAGTTTGCTTTTCTCTTTTGGTCCATGGCTGTTCCTGACCTAACCCTCATTTGTGCTGGAAAGTTAATTTGAAGTTTATAGATCTTGTTTAAACCTGCATAAGCATGGTTTTTCATGCTCAGTATCTTTTATGAATCGCACGTAAGCACACCGTTGGAAATTATTAAGTTTAAATCTAAGAACATTTTTATAAATGAGGCCCCAAGTCTGAATGAGCAGCAGGAGCTTTTAGATGAGAACAAAGATCAGTGTTTAATAAACACATGCAGCAATGTGTGATTGTGCAGCTCTGCAGGCGACGAGGCTTCATTAATCTGACCCACAGACTGCAGCTTCAGGTGTCTCCGTTTTATTGTTCACTGCCAGGCAGACTTAAACAACTCATCATATATTACAGGGCTCCAGAGTGCAACCAAAATGTTTTCTTGATCATTTTGCGGGACAATTTTTTGTCGGCTACCCAAAACTCACTGAAGGAAAAGGGTTAGAGCCAATCAAAAGCAAAGAAGGGACGCTGGATTGATACTCCTGCTGCGACTCGACGCCTACGTCTATGGGTCGTTGGTGACACACGTACTCTTGTATTTATACTTGTGTGTTGGTGTCTGCGTCGCTCTGCAATTACACCACCAAAACTCTAGTTAGGGGTTGGGCTTCCATGTTGCGCTTTGTTGACTTCTGCCAGTAAGCCAGCTAACTTCCTGTTTAGCCTCCGCTAAAGGCTTGTGCAGACCACACGACTTTCAGCTTTGGCAGATTGACCGCTGTTCGCAGTACATAACATGCCGTGTTGTAATGGGAGTCTGAAGTTGTTTTGGCGTTCACACTACGTGACTGATTGGTGATAGGGGGTCACGCACGACAGGAGCTGACAGCGGCTCTGTCACCCGACGCTGGTCTCCAAACCACAGATTGTCTAGAAAACACACGTGAAATGCTTAAGGCTTAACTTGAATGGGGGTAAGATAATAATCATGCGTCTCTTCTTGACTTTCCAAATGTTATCAACCAAATGGATCAAATTCAGATCATCATGCCGTTGTGTCGCTCAGAAGAAAGTATCCACCGTTTTACAGCTGCTTCTTTGGCCGCTAATGAAACTAGCTTCAAAGCACGGAGCACTTCCTGGGAGCTTGGAGGAAATGGCTACCAAGACAAGATTTGTTTTACAATAATGCAACATTTATCTGCAAGTGTTCCTGTTTATAATAATTTACATAACTATCAATATATTTGGGAAACGACAGAAGGTTAGAATATACTGTTATGGCGCTTAGGTTGCTGTGAGAAATTTTGATGCACCTGAATTTTATGGCAGTGCAGCTAAATGAAAAACGTAGGCGCAGCAGTGCAACCAGTGCAAAAAGTTAGTCTGGAGCCCTGCATTAAAAAGCTGCAAGGAGTGACTTTATTTATCAGATCATGAACACGCTGCTCTGATGGTAGTAAACAGTTTATCACCAACGACTGTGATCAACCCCCGTGAAATTAAATGAGACGAGAAAGAACAGAGTGAGTCAGTGTGATAGATGAGCGCGCACACACACACACACACACGCTTTACAAAAATCTGCTGAACTGCACTCAGGAGCAGGTTGTCAGGCGCAGCACATGCACGCACACGTACCTATAAAATCTGTGGTTCAGCCTCGGTTCATATCAGCGGTCACACAAGCCTCAACTTGTAATGAAACACAAGCTGCAGCTGGTTTCCTTAAACCTTCCTGTGACTAAGGGTCAGGTTATGCTGGAGAAGAGCTCATCTGTAGGACGTGATGTCTGACCACACGTGAAGGCGAGTGTTTTGTAGAGCTGCTGAACGGCCACACCAAAGAGATGTGATATTTAATTACGGAGGAGGTTTTCAGAGCGTCTCTGCTGGAGGACATTCTTGATTAGGGTGAGGTACAGGGCTCGAGACCAACTTCATCCCGGGGACGATAAAAAATGTGTGTGGGACAAGGGATTCACCGATATGTTTATTTTATATTGGTAGGATTTTATTGATACTATTTATTGGTTCTATTCTTTATCTATACTCTTATTGGTTTTTCAATACTAAATAATTGCCTTTAAAAATGT